AAGAAGTCCTTCCAAATCAGTCTGATTGCTATTTACAATATAAGTACATTAATGTAGCTGTATTACTCAACTATAATTGATTGAGTACAAAATTCTGGGTTATTTTTGGTGAAAATAGGGTATCGGGCCTTGGTTCAGGAACCAATCCCCCATTTATAACATTGTTCCTATGGGAAAATCAGTTCCGAGTTACAACGTTTCGACTTAAGATGTGGTGTTCAGGAGCCAATTGTGTCATAAGTCTGAGGACTGCCTGTACTCCTGATCCCAGTGTAATTTACAACAGAATATCAAACTGCTATAAATCACACCAAGGCAAGTGTGTAATGGTTCCAGGCCCTGAAACTGAGATTTCCCACATGAAAGCATCAGCTGGGGACTTATTCCAAATTAATTTTTAAAATTAAATCAATGAGTCAAATCTGCTTTTCCTGGCATCATGTTGATAAAACTCCTCAACAGAAACAAAATCAATCCCAAGGAAGGCAGCTACCTGTCTGATAATAGGAAACACTTTTTTTTACTCCCTAACAGAAAAAAAAAATGAAATCCAAATACCTAACTCAACTTCTAAGCATCATTTCTGATTTGCAAACTGTGGTTTGTTTAAAGGCAATAGGTGCAAAAAAAAAAATCTATCATTTTAAAAGTTGGTTACTAAGGACACATAAACAGTGATCAACTTTACATACACTGAAGTCTGAATCAAGGTATTCAGAGCTGAATCAAGGTATGCCTTAAGTGGTTTAAGGAACTGGGGTCTAAAATGTACCAGCTGCTAACCAGGAATGAGTCATTCTTATTGCAAATTTTCTGTTAAGTTTTTCAATTAGCCTTTCGAGACACGAGCATAAATGTAACAGGTCAAAGGCAGAAAGGTGTCCTTGATGGGCTCTGATGTACTGCCACATTGAAGCTAGGTAGACTAAAATCCCAGATTTTGAATGACTTATTACCTTCAACAGTGCAGGGTTTGCCAATCCATCGACTGATTCAGGTTCACATTTTAGCTCAACACTAGTCAAGGGAAACAGCATTGCAAAATTGCATTTACTGCATTAATTCTCGCAATATCAAAGAGCAGTCTACAGCTCCAAAGTCACTAACCATAAGACCTGTAAGGATCTATATATGTATGTGGTGTTACTGAGGAGAACAAAAATTATCTCATATTTAATCATGTGTTTTTTGGTTCTTTACCTTATCCCATTACAATACTACATATTAATTTATTCACATCATAGAATAAGTTAATGACCCCTTCTTGCAGTTACTAAGAAATATCAAATAATAGTAATGCAACAGCACTCAAGCAAATTACAGTGCAATTGGCCTGTGTTCATTTATAATGATCAGATTGGGTAAGGAATAAAATAATGGTTGCACAGCAATCATTTCTGTAATAGATGTAATCTATATGTAGTATAGGCCACAATTAATTACAGCTGTTTTGTTTCTCTTTCCATCTTCTCTCTCTCACTCTCTTAATAACTGTACTTCTTGCTACCTTTCCTAGTTCCCAAAACACTTCGTCCAACTTCCTCTGTAGCATCCTTGTCAGAGACTGATGCAGCACTTTGCCCCTTGTCCCAAGAACTCTGAAGAACGGTTTGTTATGGCTTTATTTAGGCCACGGTGTGATTCACTTATTTCTGGAAAAAACAGGGAGAAAGTAGGTGAAGGGGAGGGGGAGTGCAGGTTTGTTTTTGGTCGTACCGGCTTCTTTTCCCCTGGTGCACCATTCCCCCTCCGCTGTGCATTTGAGTGCACGTCTACCGTCCCTATTCAGCGGTGTGTGCGATTGTGTGGGTCTGTACCCTTCCCATTCAGCTGTGTGTGTGCGTGTGTGTAGATTACAGGCAGTCTGCTCATGGTTGCCTTGGCAACCGCAAGGCATCATTGTCTGTGGTGGCTGGTGGCACTGAGAGTTTCCCAGGCCCACTGAGGACAGAGGAGGGGGGAGAATGGAGAAAGAGGAAGACAGAGCAGAGATGAGATGGCAGAGATATTGAAAGCCAGCAGCCATGTGGGAGAGAGCTACAAGCTGTATTAAAGGGGCACATACATCGCCACAGAACAATGGGAGCTTTTGCTGGCTTTCTGTGAAAAGAAAGAATATGTACACAATGGCCTGTGACACGTGAAAGCCTCAGAGCTAACTTTATTGCTTCACCATTATGGGCCCTGCCAGAGACCTATTCAGCCTGAAGAACTCTCTTCAACCCTTAAGCCCCAAGGAAAATAGAAGCTTTTATTCTCTCTTGTTTTAAAAACAGATCTACATTTTTTAAAGATAATTTTTGCTGTCAGCATGTTGAAAGCTCTTGAAGACTCAATTCTGCAAGGTGCTGACTGCCTATTGTGAAGCGTTGAGTGTCCATAGCTCCTGTTGACTCTAGTGGGAGGTAACAATGCTCAGCATCTCCTAGGACTGGCCTCATCTCCACACCACATAGCAAAACACAAGCCGTTGTTAATATTTATGTATCTGACCCTGTCCTGAACACTTGCTGTTAGCACTCCCCTCAGGCAGCTAAAGGACAGAAGGAGGGACGAAGCAGTCAGCCCATCCTTAC